ATGATGGCCACACAGCGTCAGATGAGAGGCATTTTGGGATTTATTGCAGAGTTCAATATCTACAGACCTCTGGTCTGCCGGTAGTTCGGCGAATGGCAGTTCAGATGTGACAGAACGAGTTCGTCACAGCTCCAATTACGACAGAACACCGCCCACCTCTCGGGTCACTACACCACCGCGCTCTGTCGGGTATTGCTGGCACTGGGCGCGTTGAATATGCCGAAGGCCACTTGAATGTAGCACAGGGCGACACGCGTTGCTAATTCGCTCAACAATCCGAATACGAGTTGTTTCAAACGATATTGCGTGGCAAATGAACAATTACACGAATTTATATCTGTTTCACGTCGTATCCGGCAAAAAAGTTGAGTAATAATCTCGCACTTGGAGGCCTAATAAGAGTCTCTACACCCAGCACTGGACCATTTCCCGTTCCGTAAGGGGCCACGATCACTAGTTTACCATCCTCAGTTGTGCGCGCGTTTTTGAGGAAATTCAGGTTTAATCACCTGGTGGGATAATATTAAAAGGATGACGCATCTGGCTCGCGACATAATCCAGTGAACAGTGCAAGGAAGTTGGGCACATCAGATGTCAGTGAAGGGATCTGATCGTGGTCTGGAAGACTGGGGGTTGGTTCCCGGCAGGGGCTGGAATGTGGCTTGGGGCCCACCCACTGGGTAAGGGCTAATTCACGGCGAATGACCCGAGGCCGCTGCTCTGGGTGAACCAACGAACCTGGCGGCCGGGACGCGAGACTCCGCGTGACCTTGAACTCGCACCGGCCAACTGGATTCCTTCTGCTCGCTCGCTCGCTCGGCAGCCATTTGTGTGTGAAGTGATCGGCACATCTTATGCTGAAGTTGGAGGAAGGAACGAGGAGACGAATTACCCGCCGGCTTGTCCGTCCGTCCGTCCGTCCGTCCGTCATAGGAGGCAGATTGTCCTTGCTTACGAACTGTCAGCCGAACACAAGAAATGCGCGGGCGAACAGGTCACAAGGTATGATCTCGCGAAGGTGTACATACAGTACAGTGATAGCTTTTGTGCTGACGGCGATGAACCTAAGAGTTTGATGGCGACATGGACGCAGCCGAATGCGTCGTGGCTGCTACAGACCGACAAAGTTGGTCTCCACTCTTAAGTCAGAGCAAATGTCACCTGGCAGTTGCCAGTGAAATCCAGTCAGTCGGGCAGAAACAAATGCATGTATAATTTTTAGGTGAAGCGTCTTGAAACTCTGCCACATCGAGAAGGAAGGATAACATTAAGATGCAATTGGCTCAGGATTCCTTTGGTATAAGCGGCGTTGAACCTATTATAACCAGCGAATGGTTACTGTCCGTGTGTCAGAAGTGACGCGCTCGCCTCATTGCGGTCAGCTATTCAATACCTCCGTAACCGGGGCTAAAGCGGCCTCAGCGTGAAGCTGACTACTCATCTTCATGTAGCGATGAAGCTCAGAATGAACTTTATTACACTTTGGGGCAAATTCCTTGTTCGTTTTTCCGGGTCGATTAACACTTACGCAGTGTCACCAGGGCCGGCCGACGAGATGGCTACGTCGCGGTAAGAGGCAGTCGTTGAAGTGTTCCGTGCTGAAGCACTGGTGTAGTGAACGTTATTCCGGCCACTCGCTGCCATTACTCTACCCGTTATAACGACGGGCTCGGGTGCGGTCATGGAGCGGCGCGGCCCAGTGGACCGAAACGATCGGGCGACCCCGGCTGGCAGCCCGCAGCAACTCAGGCACTCAAAGAACGATGTTCACTGCCGTGTCCTAAACCCCATCCAGTTTATTCAATAACCGATTTAATATTATTATTCTTCTATCTACGTCTATTGCCACGGTGGTCTAGCGGTTAGAACGCTGGCCTTGTAATCCTGGGGTCTCGGGTTCGAATTTATAACTTGTGTTGGGCAAGGCCGTGGTCTAGGCAACACGGAGTTTTCCTCCGTGGCATCCCAACAATTACTCCATTCACACACAGAAGAAGGCAATGGCAAACCACTTCCGGATCATCTGCCAAGAACGTATATGAACAAGTCCCAGTCCGAGAAAAGGATGGAAGAAGGATCCTGTTCATATGGACCTGACCTGTCGTCACACACAACACTAAATAAATAAATAATAGATACCTGTCTACCAGTTAGGTAAGCTGATGCTACTTAAGTGACGAACCAACAAACAGCTAACTGACTTCTGTTTTGCATGAACTGATTTCCCACGTTGTGATGCTCATGTAGTGCTTTCGTGTGAAGATAAGCCTACATTCCCATGGACACGGTCTGTTCCATCCCAGCGCCTCGCGGTGGTGGTTCTGTGATCTGCTTGGTTGCATCGCTGTCAGGCGAACGCGATGAAATCATCTTCAAGAAACTGAGGAAATTACTCGGTAGGGAACTTCACGCGCGCTTACTGTAGCTGTATTATTAGCAGTTATCTGTCTGGTTGGCTCTGCCGTGAAATTTGACGAGTTTCGTCTCAGGAAAATCTTCATGAGAATATCTAGGGCAAATTTGGGCGATGAACGACTCTGTTACCGTCTGCGATCTGCAGTACATCGCCGGCTTCTGTGTTAGCCTTTTGCAACTCGAGTGGCGTGGTTCTGGTAGTCATTTGGTTGCATTAAATGCGATCCCAAGAGGCGAAATCTTAATTCAGCGAAGACATCGCTGTCGTGTAGAACGCGTGAGGCTGTCTCTTCTGTGTTGTGTCATGTGTCGTAAATTGGAACGTTCGCGAGTCTGTGAATAATGCCCCGAAAACGACATTGTCCTCTCAGTAATTCTGCTGCTTGTCTCGGCTGTTTCCTGCCTAATTTTAACATTAATTTGATTCTTTTGGCAGTATTTTCTTGTAAGAAAATCCTCGGCATATTCTTTTCAATGTGTGGATATCCAGAATTCCTAATGTATTCTGTTTGTACAGTCCCTGATGACTCACTTGGTCACTCCTACCGAGATTATCAGATACGTTTTGGATGCTGAGATCCTTATTTGCCAGCTGATCTGTATCTCTACACCCGTTTTAGTTGAACCCTGTTGTGTTTAGTCATTTGCATCAGGAACCCAGACAGACTTGGAGTTAATGTGCTTCGCTGGTAGCTTGACTGTCTAGTAGAATATAAATGTCGCTGGTTTTAGGGCGTCTGTTTATGTTGTCAACTGCACATGGCTTCATGGTATATACTTTAATGTGGAATACAGCAATGTATAAATGTTATATAGCTCCTGTATAAACTGGCGTTGGAGTATGTAAGAATATTACGTTTAATGACGAGTCTAAAATATTGGTTTGCGGAATATGTAAGGGGAGAATTTTTGAAAGAACGATATTTTGATTACCGGGAAAGCTATCGAAAAATAAATTTTAAATTTGACTTGGAGAATATTTTTTATACGTGTGAATTTAGTTTGAACTGGCTCCAGATCGTGCCCAGTGATAGTTTTTAGTAGTCGTTGCTAAATTGCGTTCTTCAAGGTCACGGAAGGACTTTATCGTGGTTCTAAGTTATCCGTTCAATGTTGATAGCTACGCTGCGCTGGGCTGCTAGATCTAAGCTGTCTTCACTCTTGTGGGCTCCGCTGTTCGCGTGGCAACGTTGTAAGATTTTGATATGACCTTGAAACTTGCAATTAGTTGACGGCTACTGTAGCACTATCGAACCTGCGGGTTCTACCACTAGAGAGAGTGGGCATGTTTCTTTGTTAATCTGGGAAAAACTTTCCATGGGATTGGTGTCGTTTTGAACAGACAGGAGCGGGCATCATAATCAGTTCGCCATGTAAATATATTCAAATAAGTGCAGTGTTTGCTTGGCGGGGCGAATGTTGACTCGTCTGAACTTTTAACACACAAGGGAATCAAATCAAAACAAAAAAAGATCCATACTGAATTCGGTCTTTTCAACTGTGGCTCTGTCGTCGAAATTCTGTTTTTGTACGCGACGTGAAGATGTTGCAGCAGAGACGCCACGCGCCTGATATTCGTACTACCAGTTCATAATAAACATTTGCATATGTCGTATGATACGTTCTTTCCTTTACGTGACCTAGTTGTTGTGTTTTAACCTACTTTTTTCTTGACTTCTGAGTAGCAATAGGCTTGTACGTAAAGTATTATGGTCCGTCCCGTAATAATTTTTGAATCACTGCCCAATTCCATGAAACTTGTTATAAATATCTCGCCATTGGAGAGCACTCCACGTTTGTAATTTCAATTTTATGTATCGATAATACTAACATGGCGGTTTTTGTTCATATGAGGTTTAAACCACGCTAGTAACATTTTATACAGAGACCTAGAATTTTGGGTGGTGATGCAGTTGTGATGAATAGTCCGACATTCCTTTTTATGTGGAATGCATAATAACAGAATGACGGTCGTCGGAAATTAGTATTCATATTTTAGTTTAATAACTAGAAACAGGAAACAACTGGAGTCAGGATTATTAATTCTGTTATGAAAACAAGAACATCTACATTTGTGCATGAGGCAGCATTTATATTTGAAGACCAATGTATAGATAAGAGGATAATATAAACATTATCGGAACTCAGGGCTCTCTTCAGCCTTGAAGATGGTGAAAATATATTCTCCGAAACGATGTTATCTATATACAAGTCGACACGGCGTTACAACCCAGAAGACCCGAGGAATCTATCCAGTAAATTAATAAGATAGTATAATTGCGTCATATTGTGAATC